TTATGTTGATTTGATCTATTGTGACCAAAAAAATGATAATCGTCCATCGATATTTGCTCGTCGTCTTTGAGAAACGTTTCGCATACACACATAATGTCAGTGTCAGAATGTCGCGTTACTTTATTTCTAAAATCAGAGTTTTCATTTGCATGCCTAGACCAGCCGTTAACATTCCAACAACCTAGTCGTAGACTGTCCTAGCGACGGTGTGCATGTCGGTGTTGATCTACGCCTTGGTATCGCCTATCAGGGTTGTAGCGTTGATCGCGACGTTGTTCGGGTCGTTGAAAAGATTCGCGCTGGTGGTGAGCGTTACCATCGTCGTGGTTAGCTGAATGTCTGGACCGTACGGTCCTCCATCCACCCGCGTTAGCACTAGTACTGTCATTGTGTGTGTTACCGTTACCGTCACGGTCGGCCTCCCTCACCTTAACAATCCTATTACCGTACACTTTGTAGTCATTGTGCCTGCCGATTTCACGTAAAACGGTGTGCAGAGAGCGCTGTGTTTCTAATTCGCTTTTCGACATATCGTTGTCGATATATACCCTCGGATAATTACGCGAATATTTCAGGGTTTGCTTTTTTCTCATAACAGACTGTTTTTGGTTTAGGGTTTCAATGGTAGCGATAACGACACCGGGATGATCTCCCCTTGCTAGCTTACGATCTGCTTGGGTTATATTTACACCCGGTAGCTTGAGGCCATCTCGGATCATTGCATTCACTTTCTGTTTTGTAAATTCAGCCCATCCTGTTCCCTGTTCCTGCGGTAATTCCGGTAGATTTCTGATCACGATATTGTTTTTTCGATTGTTTTTTTCGTTATCTGGCCTTGTTTGTAAACCCGCGACCGCTCCCTGAACATCAACATTTAGGTTTTTTATTTGGTCGTCGACCTCCATTCTGACCTTGTTTATTTCATTCGATACAAAACACGTCAAGTCTTTTTTCACAGTTTCTTTATTTGCATTTGGTGTCGATGAACAACAATCCTTTAGTGCTTTCATTTTCCTTTCGAATTCGGCTCTTAAATTTTCGACTTCGCGCTTCACTCCGGTGTCGATTTCGGATTTCATTTTAGACATTTCAGTTTTAATTTTGCTGTCAACAAGTGTAGCCACTCTTTCTGTAACGTTGTTTTCAACCATATCAAGTCTATTGGTAAAAAGCAGATGCATGCTACTCATATTGTCTGTCAACTGTAGCACTAAAGATTCGACCCGGGCAATAGCCGTAGCTGTTTCACCTGTGTTTTGGGTGGGAGGCACCAATTGGGGTGATTCACTATTGACTGTCAAAGTTTGTTTATTTAAACCAGTTCTTAATTTTTTCTTAGTAGGCTGGACGACATAGGTAGTAGATGATTCTGATTCAGAAGAAATGTTTCTCTTTCTGGCCGGGGTGGATGGGGAAATATGTGGGACACTGGTATTTGTTTCAGCCCGTACCACTTGGGGACCCAGGACGACCGACACATACTCATCAAGGCAATTGTCTAGTGTGGTTATCTCCTGGGAATGTTTATAATATGGCATATTGAATGTTTAAGTCGATGTGGAATTGAGTTCAGCAGACACAGGGCTTCCCTATGTCCAGCCTTGCTCGCTCCCAAAATGTACTATTACTTTGTCCTGGTGAGGACTACTCACCCTCTCGTATGTTAGTCTTCAGGCTTCACCTTCAGAGATATAAGGTATGCACACACTTTAAAACTTCAGAATCCACACAATATGACGATAAAATACTTTACACAACAAATACTGCTTAAAAAATCCAGGTAAAAAAGTCCTTAAAACACCTTTAAAGGCACTTTTTAGCGGAGCCGGTTAAAAACGACTGTCCTCAGTATCACGCATGCGCTGCGGTGTAACCATTGTTAGGTCTATAGGTGATATATCTAGAGCAACTCTCGTACCAGATCCCTCATTAAAAAAGTTATGTTAGAGGTATTAATATATTCATATAAGACCTTTCCTTTTGAATCACATCTGGTTCCTCTCCATAAAGTCATCTTCGCCATAAAGCATGATGACTATTAAAATCGACACACAATATATATGGCGTATTGATGTATGTATTGTGTTCAGTATAGTCTTATAATTTATTAGTTTTACAGGTGTTATAAATGATACTGACGGATTTGTCATGCAATTTTATGATGACTCCCACAACCTCCATATTTGTGCTGACGTTTCTTTAACTACGGGAGCCTTTATTATCTGGCCGGTATTTTAGTATTGGTTGGTAAAAACCCGGAACATAAAAATTGATGTCATTTCCAAGCCATGTTTTTCTTGTAGACATATAAAATTAATTTCAGGTCTACTTTCAATAAATTTTAAAAACTCGTTACCATTTCTGATTGCCTATACCGGTGGTTGTTTTAGGATACATGGTACACGCTTTGTGTACCGGTCGTTAGAGAGGTGTCCAGCTTTACACCTAGCACTACTTCAGCCTGTTGTAGAATATATATTAAGATCTCCGACCAACTCAAGCCTGGGTCAGCACGTGTCATACCTGGGTCAGCACGTGTCATACCTGGGCCAGCGAGTAAGTCATATCTGGGTCAGCACGCATGTCATACCTGGGTCAGCACGTGTCATACCTGGGCCAGCGAGTAAGTCATATCTGGGTCAGCACGTAAGTCATATTTGGGTCAGCACGTAAGTCATATCTGGGTCAGCACGTGTCATACCTGGGCGAGCGAGTAAGTCAAATCTGGGTCAGCACGTAAGTCATATCTGGGTCAGCACGCATGTCATACCTGGGTCAGTACGTGTCATGCCTGGGTCAGCACGTGTCATACCTGGGCCAGCGAGTAAGTCATATCTGGGTCAGCACGTAAGTCATATCTTGATCAACAAGTGACATATCTGAATCAGCACGAAAGTTGCATCTGCGCGATCCTATCCACCACCTGAGTTTGCCCCTTGCACAATTTTACGCTTTAGAAACCAACATGACCTTTCGTGTCGAGGTCGTGCTTCCGCGAATATGACTGTTCCACTATTGGGTAAAACAGTTACAAACCAACATGAAAGTGTTCTTTCTTGGTTTGAAACACTTCAATATTTATGATGGTATGCAACACAATTTCGTTAAAACAAGATCTTAAAGATACGCTGCCGCACATCATTGATTATGTCTTCTTAATTTTTCTGATGAAAAAAATCCTGCTTGGCGCTACATCAGCTATAATAGCGATGAATGACTACATGAACCTAGGTTTATTTCAGTGTTATTTGTTAATTGATAATAGTATCCCTTGGGTAAACTTCCCAGTGATGCTTATTTGTATTTTTATATTGTCCCATCAGGTGCGATTCACAGTAAACGAAAGAAAGTTTTCTTTTAAGAATAGAATTTAACTATGACGCCATCAACATTATGACGTCATAGTAGCAAAGTATAAAGCATTTCGGGAAGACACGTGTTTCCTAGTGATCGTCTCGTTTATCACACCAAATGTTTTTTTCTTGTATCTAACTCTGCCGGGATAAACATGGGATGTGGAAGTTCCAAGGTGGTGCCAGTCGCATCCCAGAATACTGACCGGAAGCGGAAACGAGTTCGATGGAGTAAGGCAGTCACGATAATAGAAATTCCCAGAGAAAGGTGGACAAGTGGTCGAGATAATAGAAATTCCCAGGGAAAGGTGTGCAAGTATTCACATTAACAGAAATTCCCAGGGAAAGGTGTACAAGTATTCACGTTAACAGAAATTCCCAGGGAAAGGTGTGCAAGTGCCACTACTAGATACATATCAACGTACAAGCAACGTCCTCCTTCTACAGAGAACAAAACTCTATTAGGGATACCTTCAATCCTGTAATAAAGATTTGGAAACATTGGGTTACGTATAACGGGATGGCTGTGAATTTACCTTTCTTGAAGACGGGGGATAAAATAAGGCCAATGCCTTAGTGTGGACCATCATCAGCTGATCCGTGAATTCTTCCAGGACTGCTCAGCGTGACTCATCAATGGTCACAGTATCATTCAGACTGACGTTCCGTCAAATCCGGATGTGTAGTGCGATTCTTACTTATTTACCATGCAAGGTGACACAACAAAATTCGAAGACGTCATAGAGATTCAACGGACCCGGACAATCTTGTCAAATGACAAGCACTAGATGCATGTAGGTTGGAATACTTTTCTCCTACCAAAACTCTGCTAGGCTCTACAGATGCAGCCAAAGCCATACTTGCTGATTGCGGCCACACACTCCAGTTAATACTGGACTGCAGCCACCCAGATATAACAGACTTGATAGGGAACTCCAAAAACTTACTGTTTCATATAGAAAGACATTCCAGGAGATGCAGATTATTAGACATATGAATTTAGTTGAAACAGCAACAAGAATTCCAGTGACTGAATGGGCTAGTTTTACGCATACTCAATAACGGAACTTTGTATATAACGTTATACCTTAGACGTATCGGTGTGTATATAATATATATATATTACTAAATAATATATAATATAAAAGGATTACATGTCCATGTGAAGGAGGTAAATATAGACAAAATAAGATCAACGACCGACTAAAAAACTAGCTGCTTTCCCCCTTCACAGGATTTGTCAGCAATAAACCTGAAGAGCCCTGTGAAGGGTGAAAGCGGCTAGTTTTTAGTTAATCTTATGTTTTCTATATATATATAGTGTGTGTGTAGTGCTGCTAACCTCACTGCCACTCGATGAAACTAAACTGTCTACATATATACTGCGATGCATTCGTAAATCGGGTGATGGTTATCGTTACGGTAATGGATTTTCCATGTGAAATAAATATATATATTTAGGAACGCCAGGAAGTACCCCAGCGACATATACTACTCGACAGAAGACCACATCGAGGTGCCCCGATTAGGTAGCGGGGGAAATTACAGACAACAACAACAACAACAACGTGGCGGGGGGCCTCCTCGACGATAGCAGGGAGGGGCGGCGGTATAGATTTGACGATTATACAATCACCAACAAACAAAATATTACAAACAGCACAGTTTCGGAGTCAACAAGAATACGGAAGTCAAAATTAGTATTTGCACATTCACTTCCAGTGTTGGTGTTATCGTATATTTCCCCCTTTGTGGGCCCCCATAAGGCTCATACCCCCTTCGTAAGTTAGGACCTCGTCTATTTTACGGCTTACCCCGTGGCAAGACGTTTCTACTTTTCGGCACATTCTAGATCTTCTACGTGGCACTGCAGAGGCTGATATTCTCAAGTCTGAAGTGGAACATCATGGACGTCTTACAAATGCTGGTTGTCGTTGGACTGACCCTTCTGAAATTTGTACAGGTAACTATTGTTATGTTGTCTTTACATTGTGAAGTTTAAAACTTTTTGAAAATGTTTTGTTACTCTGATATCAGTAGACGTTATGTAACGTCCAAACTATTTGGTTGTGCATTTTTAAGAACAAAAAAGTTTGTTAAAGAATATAGTATTCTATATAAAAAATGCCGTATAAAAAATGTTTATAAATCCTTATAAATAAGAAGGTAAACACAAACTTGTGGAAATCTGCAACATAGATGATATATTTCATATCTACTGCCAAATGAAATTAAACACTTTTATGGTTTCTATTTTATATTTATATATGAAAATACTGATGTCATACGAGCTACTCCTCAACTTGTTCGCTGCGTTTCCTCAATATGCCAAACCCAGTCAGTTTATATTTCGAAAGTCGTGCCCAAGGGAGGAGATGGTACACATAGTTGTATACGTGGCCAGTCTTCGCGTGCAAAGATGCTGAGTAGCGTGAGAAAAATGTGTGCACGTGTATTTCACACAAGTGCGTTAAGTAAGTTACAGGCCCGCCTTTGTCTGTGAACAGTCAGGGCATCATGTGTACTTATATTTATGTCCGGACTGTAAGTACAATCTATTTTTAAACGTGCACACAATTTGGTAATATACATGTAGGATTAAGTAAGATGAAATAATGTTGATATTGTAATTATAATTTTACTCCTCCCACTGTATACAAGGTAGTTTGCTAGTTCCTTCTGTTGAGAAGACTATTACAAATTAATGATCACGAGTGTGTCAGGCGTGAACGGTGGGTGTGTATCCTGCAACTCGGTATAATGAGTATGTCAGGCGGGGTCTGTACGGGGTAGGGATCATAAACAACTCAACACAGGTTAACGGATAGAAACTAACCATCTACGTGTAAAGCTGTTGNGGGGGGGGGGGGGGGGTATAAAGATTACAGTATGATGCTATTATTAAACCTATTCATTTCTACTCGATAGATCAACAATAGTCACGTGATGATATGTATGCTTATTTTATGTGATCACTCCTGAAGACACTTTTGAACTCTTACGATTCAATGGTTGGTAATCCATTGGTTTTTCCTGTCTCCGACGATAACTCCTGGTATCCCTCTCTGTCTTTTCCAGAGAAAACATCTCTCGTTTTAAACCGTATACTGTTGTTGCATGACTCATTGGCCGGTGAATACCATTGGAGGATGATCATCTCTCTAGCTTGGTGCTGGTAAACTTCACGCCGAGTTCTTACTATGACACAATGCATGACTACAGCAAGTTTTAATGATAAAAAATACCAGATACGTATTGAGACCAGTAAGCCCAACATATATAGCAATGGGCAACCACATAAAAGCTATTTTCAATTAATATAATTAATTAAATAGAATCAATACGAGATATGTTTAAGTCTGTTATATCAATAAAGTATTATTCACATGCAAAAATATTTCAATTAAACGATGGACAGAACTCAAATTTTCCAATCCAGGTTCAAGCAATTATTCGAATAAATTGCAAAGGAGAGAAAAAAAAACACGATTTGCCTTCTTTTTATTTTATGTAAATGTAATCCTGATGTTTTTTCCCATTACACAGGGAGGTGACTTGAATATTACGAATAAAGTGTATTTCGACATCACAATTGATGGCGAGGATGCTGGGCGGATCGTATTCGGTCTGTTTGGAGATACTGTTCCCCTGACAACAGAGAACTTCGTCCAATTGGCCAGTCACGCTAATGGTTACGGCTACAAAGGAAGCAAGTTCCACCGTGTGATTAAAGACTTCATGATCCAAGGTACGTTCTCTCTGACGTCATTATTTTGATGACGTCATATTATGCTTGAATGCTTGGTTAATTTTTTTTTCTGGTGCTGAATATCTTAACACTGTTTTTGACGTAATAACAATAGGAACAAAGCATTTTAATAGAACATATTTAAATCAATCGGCCCCTCGGGTTTAGATATCAGAAAATAAAACACTAAGAGAACCGGCTGATCTGTCTATATACGCTTTTATTAACAAGACATCAAGCTTGATAAATTGACTTGTTTACTGACATTTTACATTTATCGTGCTCTTCTTGTTTAATAATTGATCGAAGGAATGTACTAATTCGATTGTTTTCTACAACCAGGTGGAGATTTCTCCGCGGGTGACGGAACCGGAAGTAAGAGTATTTACGGGAAATATTTCGCCGATGAGAACTTTGAACTTTCCCACGATGGAGCTGGATGGGTCAGCATGGCAAACGCAGGTACATACCATGTCTTCTGTTATTTACCCTTATTTCTAAAATACCCTTAAGATACATGTGTTGAGACATTGTCAGCGTTGGGGACCTCTGGGTTAATCTTACTTGGCCAGACTGTGGTAACTCTTTGTACAAATGGTATTTCCGTTTCCTTGCGTTAGTGTGAAATTGATGTTATTATAATTACCTTTGAAGTTGAACAATTAGTAATTTTATTATTATCAATCATTAATGTTAATTATATTAACTTTTAATTACAAATACACGTATTTGTGTTTTAGGAGTTGACACAAATGGATCCCAATTTTTCATCACGTGCAAAGCAACCAAATGGTTGGACGGAAAGCATGTTGTTTTCGGGAAGATTCTGGAGGGTATGAATGTGGTCAGAAAGATAGCAAACCTTGACGCCGATGTGGACGCCCGCGACAAACCTTACTCAGATGTAATCATTTCGGAATCTGGAGTCATTGACGTGGACACTCCATTAGATGTGGAAACATGACCTGTTGACTGACAAATAATTCTGAACAAAGTAGCACAACTCAAGTTTAAAATTGTTCTTTTAAATAATATGGGTTTTTAAACATGGAAGAGACTTGGTCCGATGATGTAGATGTATTTGAGGCTGGTAGACGTGTATATTGGATAAAGATCTCGAAATAAGAAATAATAAAATTATTGATTAATGTATAAATACCTCTGTACCTATATCAAAATGTATCAACGGAAAAATTTATTTTGAAGGCCCTTGCTATTGTTTCATTGAGAATATTTTCATTTTATATTGTTCTTTAGTTTTATAATTTTGTTAATAGTTGTTAAGAAGGAGTTATCTCCCTTGAAACGTTCGCGATGGGTAAACCGTCCATTACATGGATAGATACGAGTGTGCAAAAGAATGCTGACACAATTGATGATCGCCTGATATTATAGTAGGAGGTAATATTTGAACACTTTGATAATGAGGTCACTGTGCTGGACACGGAAATTGTGCATGTTTTTCAGTCGTAAGATTAGGATGTCCCCTATACGAGGAGGCCTCAGTCGCCATAAAGGGAAATAACTCTTGTCGACCTCAAATCCAGATTCAAAACTCATACGTCTTAAAATGCATGTTTTCCCAAATTTTCTAATTAAAAACGTCTTTAATTATTTTTTCTCAGCCACCAGCCTCTTTCTGACTTCCCTATATATATGTTTTGATATCACAGCACAGGAGCAAGCAAAACAATTTGTTTTTATTTCATCCCATCACTTTACCTACGTACGTACATCATTTTACTCAGTGTGTTTCTTTCAAGTACCAAGTATTTTTACACAAACATAATTTATTGTTGTTACGTAGGTTTTTGTGTACTCGCTATCTATCAGAACAGTAATTTTGACGAGTTGTATTCATATTGTATTTGTTTTATTGTTTTATATATGAAGATATCGTTTGCAATAAAATCAAATTTTGCTACTTTTAATTTATGGTCATCATTTATCTGTCTTGAAATCCTGATTATAAAAGATATGTACTACTTTGTTGTGACAAAGAACCTCCATTCTAAATGTTCTTCACGAAAAATGCTACAACAGCTAAGGAATAAGAAGGGAATGGAAGTTAGTTTTCCCTTTCCCCCTAGTATTTCCCATTCTGCTTGCTGGTTTGGTGCCAAAACGTTAACTTTATAGCATTACATTTGATATTTGGAAGGAAAGTAAGTTAATTCCACATTCAGTGTCCAGGTATAAACCAAGACATTACTCAATTTTTTCCACCGTCGACTGTCAACTATCGGTCTCGAGTTCAAAACAATTATCGTGCTCTAATCGACAGTATCTCCACTCAAAACAACGTACTATCCCCTAAATATACATATGCATTCATTGAAAATTGACAATGTACATGTATTATGACAATACACAAAGATGAAATTCAAACCATAATTATATTGCAAAGTGCGGGTTGACTCTGGAGTTAACTCCCCTTTGCGTCTCTACGCAAGTGAAAAACTGTTTTGAGGTCACGAGGTTTTTGGATTAAACGATAAAGGAATAATACAGATACCGATGATACCTTAATCGTTTTTGGAAAGAAACCTGAAGTGCCAGTAATTGCTTCATGCTGATATAAGTATCACTAGCAGGGTATCATCAGATGTATCACTGACGAAGCCAAAGCACAAAACTTTAATCGACTAATGAACTATTAAATGTGGTCTAGTTAACTCAGAAATATACACACTGATTCTGTACAGAAGGTAGAGAAACTATGACTTACACTTACTCTAGGAATGCAGTTATGTTTTAAATCCTTCTCAGTGATATTCAGCGATTCAGTTGTAGAAGGTCGCATAGTACAATTGTCTACTACATACAGTACTGTAATGATAGGTATATATTATTGTGAAAAGAGAGAAAACTCGGAAGAAATATTAGTAGGGAACGCATACATGGTGTATTGCAAGGGTATTGAAAAAAAATCCAGAAAAGTACACATTAAGAAAACCAGAAAGAACACGTTTGAAGAATTGGATGTTTGTGTAAATCAGAAATACCACGGATAGCATAGAACAACAGAGAGACTACTGGAGCTGTTTGTGCCGGTTCCACATTGTACTATTTTTTTTTTTTTTGGCAACGACAACCTTACTGTCAATCCACACATGTTCAGACAGAGACCGGGATACTAGTATTGTCTATACGTATATGTTATGCATTGAATGTATGTTGTCACAAAAAAAAATATACATCTTCGGAATTCGGTATGATTCTCTGTGCCTTTACACGGAATTAGATTATCTAAGTCCGTGGTTTTAGGCAACCCAAACCGTCTGCACTCGTAGAAACATGCAAAATTTCACCTGTTCTTGGGAATTCGAAATTTGGATTGATATTGCGTTTGTCTGAAAAAGTTCATCAATGCGGTTGAATTTTGTTAAAACTATACCAAAATATAGTCTAGTGATATCTTTGATCCCATATATTTAGTTGCAAATCTGTTAGTTAAGCCGGATTTTTATGAAGAATGACTGCAAAAAAACTGCATTTTACTATTAGCTTATCTCCATCTAGTTTCGAATCAGACATCAAAGTGATCAAATTTTAAGGGTTATTTTTTGGATAGTCTACCGTTTGTTGTGTGCAACAATAGATGTATAAATAAGAGTTGCGTCCCTTGAACTGTCATCTCAAAGTAAAGCGCGATTTCTTTCGTGAGGTTAATATTTTTTCCTTTAAAATGCCAGAAATGGTCTGCCTTACACAATTGAAGGATATTCTGTGTCACTACTAATTAAGATCTAGAGTACAGCATTTACTTAATTATATAGGAATCAATGTCTCGATTTCTTTCGACATCGTCATTTATGACAATGATTGCCCGGTACATTCTGCTTTGTGGTAATTGACTACTATGGAAGTTTTATAATTTTTCGCTTTTGTACTGTTGGCTCTTCTTCCATGTGTACAGGTAGATCGATTGTTTAATAGTATAATTGCCAATTGGAGGTAACCTGTTAGCACAGAGACCTAGCTCATTGCTAATTATAACTGGTAATGGGCGATTTTAATGCTCACTTGTCAAAAAGTTATGGTATGAAAAACCATAGTGTAGCGAATGAGAGGGGACTTATTATAGAAAAAATTATACAAGATCATCATTTGATATCTGCTAACTCCCAAAGCTGGTCAGGTGGGCCAAATTACACATACATATCTGGTGATTGGTGATCACGTATCTATGATCGACCATATACTTGTCGAAAAATCCAATATCGACCTTGTAGATTCCTGTCATATATGTGGTGACCATTTTCTAAATATGTCTGACCACCGACCGATACAGCTTACATTTCGAATGAATTGTCATAAACGTGATTATCCATTGCTAGATTCGGCTATTAACTGGAAAAAAGTAACGGAGGAACACATAAACACATATAAACAACGATAAGATAACAAATACAAGTTCCGGCTGTTATCGCTGAGATTGCTAAAATAATGACTTGCTGCAAAATTATCGTTTCCTACAAAACGGTACAGACATTATTTGAAACCGTATTGGAACTATAATAATGTGAAATCTCTACATACTAATATGAGATATATGCGGTCTTTATGGATCGATGAAGGACCTACACAAACTATAAAACCGCGAAGAGATCATTTCGAAATGAATTAAAACTCGTTCGTTAACAGTACCAAAGGGAACAGTTTGAACAACTTGGCAGAACTCGACACCGGAACATTTTTTAAAGCTATACGTACAAAGAGGAATGTAAGTAAAAACGCTTCCTCGTATGAATTACTGGTTAATGGAAAGATTACTCTGATTCTGATATTTTGAGAGAAGCATGGTATGAACATTTTCGTAATTTATCAAGTCCTCTCAATGAACCACACTTTGATGACGAGTTCAAGAAACGCATTGAACGCATGGTCGACCGTATGTACGTTAATAGTTTTAACAATAATGACGGTATTTGTGACGACCCCATTACAGTTTTGGAAGTCAAACAGGCTATTAGAGATATGAATAGTGGAAAAGCCGGTGGACACGATGGGATAGTTCTAGAACATATAAGATATGTTAGTTGTAATGTGCTTAACTCAATTGTTGCATGTTTTAATGACATAACAGAAAGGGAGCCATACCCTGAACTTTTCAAATTTGGTATAGTAATTACTCTTTTTAAAGGTGGTAAGCGAGATCGGTTGCTAATGGATAATTACAGGGACATAACTCTTACACCGATCTTGCAAAAGTTACTGGAAAAGGTTTTATTCTCTAGAATCTTAAAGCAGTGTAATGTCATACAGTTTCCCCATAAGCTTCAACAAGGTTTCAGGGAGCACTGTGGAAGTATCACGGCAGCATTCACCGTAAAGGAATCTATTTCATACTATATAGAAAGAAAATCAAAAGTGTTCGCTGCCTTGCTTGATAATCAAAAAGCATTTAATAGTGTGTGGTTAAACGGTCTAATGTACAAATTATACAATTTAGGTTTCAATGGCAAGTTTTGGAGGCTATTATTTGATTCATTTACCAATGTGACGTCATCTGTGTGGGTTTTTTTTTTTATGGTAAACGTAGTAATACGTACCCAATAGGCCAGGGGGTAGGTCAAGGTCGAGTGGTATCCGCATGGTGTTATCTGGTAATGATCAATGATCTTGCTGTTGAGCTAGAAAATCGGAATTTCGGGTTAAAAGTTAAAGATATACACATACCCTGTGTTTTGTTAGCAGATGATACGTTACTTTTATCCGCGTCGCTTTCTCTTCTTCAAAAACAGTTAGACATTGTATATTATTACTCTGCTATGTGGCGCTTTAAGTATAACTCTGTGAAAAGTTCTTTTATGATATTCGATCGCTCACGTCGATCGAAATCAGAGCAACGTAGTAAAATATCTTGTTCTCTTGGATAAGTGGCTATCCACGTACTATACAGAAACTTATGCTGGGATATTCTTTACATGTAAACTAAAATCAGACAGTGGTATTACCGAGTCCTGTGTGAAAGGAAGGAAAAGATTAAACTATCTTATTGGTATAGGCATTCACGCTAATGGACTTAATCCTGTAACTAGTTTTAATACAGTAAAATCTGTTGTTTATCCATGTATCTATATGGAAGCGAACTTTGGAACGTTTATACCAATAAATCTGTTGAAGAATTAGAACTCACTCATAGATATGTCTGTAGGCGTTGTACTGGACTACCGAAAACGTCATCAACTGCTGTAACTTCACAATGTTTAGGAGTTTTCAACATCTGGAGTGAGATAGAAATTGAAAAACTGCTATTTTGTAATAAGTTATGTTTAGGAAATGTAAAGTTTGTATGGAAGTCCTTGTTTATTATTAGATTATGTCAGTTCATGTTTGGCGAACTGTCCGCTGTACAAATAGGATTTATTCCAGATGTGTTCAACATCATAAAAAAGTTTAATATAGAATCATTTTTAATTGACTTTTTAAACAACATATTTGTACCTCCAAAATTATGCTGGAAACGTTTTATTAAAAGATTTTTTACAGATTTCTATCATATACAGTTTACAAAAGCGGAATTGCTTCGTTATTCTGCCATACACAGTTATCAGGGAATCAACCCCATTTTAGAACTGAGTACCAAGCAAAAATCGCATAAATGCATGTGGCAGTTAATAGAGCTAATGAAATATTCATTTATATTTGAACGCGATATTGTATTATGTAAACTTTGTGGTAAATCTACTGCTGTTATTGTTTTTCATTTTCTGCTTGAGTATCCGAAATTGTTTGAAAAGCGTGACTTAATGATGGATGGTGTGGTGAATGCTTTAGAAGTTCCCTCCTATATTTCATTTCCAAATATAGAGGATGAAAACCAATGCAGTTTCTTATTAGGATATCGTGTGAATATACTACTAGAAGACTACGAGTGGGAAAATATGATGATCAATATGTCAATTAATCTAGAAAGAATGGTGTGTGAGATTGACACGTTATTGTAACTCTCTTCCTTTTTCTATTGATGAACGCTATCTTTATGTAATTTGAAATGTAAACATATATGTATGTATTGATTGACTTTAATCTCTTGTAAAAGAGGAAATAAATAATGTCTGTCTGTCTGTCTGTCTGACCTTTTAATGCAGAGAGACAGTCAGTTTTTATTTGAATCAAAAGTTTTGATTATCAGACAGAAAAAAAGAAAATATTCAATAAAATCCATTAATAATTTTAATATTTTCCGGTGTCCTATTTTCAGTAGCTGCAGGCCCATTTCTCGTTGTCCTCCTCTACGTCTTAATGTTAATTTATGTGCTGGCTTGTGACTGGACTAATACAAAGGCCAATGAGATGTGGACACATAGCTATGATGGTTATATTCCGTGTTTTTACCAACCAGTGCTAAAAAACCGGCCATATAATTAAGGCTTCCGTAGTGTAGCCTTATATGTTAAAGAAACACTGGTTTTCCATGAGTTGAGTATAGTCAGCACAAATATGGAGGTTGTGGGTGTCGTAATAAAATTGCATGACAAATCCGTCAGTATCATAACCATATATAATATACATGTAACTAGTAAACTAAAAGACTATACCGAACTCAATAAATACATTAATACGCCATATATATTGTGTGGTGCTTTTAACAGTCATCATACTTTATGGAGAGGAACCAGATGTGATTCAAAAGGAAATGTCTTATATGAATATATTAATACCTCTAACATAACTTTATTAAATGAGGGATCTGGTACGAGAGTTGCTCTAGATATATCACCTATAGACCTAACAATGGTTTCACCGGACATATCGGCTAAATGTTTATACAGTGTTTATGATGACAATTTTGATACTGATCACTATCCAATTATTATAAAATATAGATGTATGCCTACTATAACTTTTACAAATAAAAAGCCCAAGTGGAATTTAGCAAAAGCTAACTGGGAGGGCTACACGTCATCCAATGCAAGGGAGATAACTCCAGCACTCCTAAGTGAAAATAAGAAACAACCCATGAAAAGCTCGTAAATGGTATTTTAAACATTGCTACTGATTGTATTCCTATTCAGCAGAAAAAGTCTGTTGATAAATCTGCTGTACCGTGGTGGAACAGGGAGTGTTCACGTGTTGTACGTGATAAGCGCAGAGCTTATAATAAGGCACGAAGAAGTTTTAATCAAGAGTCATTTACAGGTTTACAGGCGGAAAAGGGACCACTCTAAAAAAGGTTATTAATGATACCAAAGAAAGTTACTGGAAAGATTATTGTACCAATATAGATACAGATAATTTTATGAACAAAGTATGGAGAATATGAGAAATGTCAATACAAGTAAACAAATACCAGCTTTACTGGACCCCTCCTATAATAACTATGTGCCCGATACTATCACAAAATGTAACCTTTTTGAAGCATCTTTCTTATCAGTAAGTAAAACATCTAATTACAGACCTTAGTGTGGTGTTATTATTGCTGTGAACAAACGTCAACGAATGTCTTTTCATGCATCATAACGTGATGTTACCCAAATAGAAAAAAAATCCAATGTATGAGGCAGTATTTTTATCTTTCGATACCATTAAATTGTAACTATATAGAAAGAAACTTTTCTTCGTAAAAGTGATTCAGTTGGAGTAGCGTCACGTTATAATTTTCAAGGAAACTTGTGAAACGTTATGTTTTTAAACTTTCGACAGTTGATTGTGCTGACAATTAGAATTAACTAGTTAAAACCATATTTCCAATTGAGAGAAGACATACCACTTCCAACGAGTTATTCCCCTTTAAATGAATCAAATACCAACAAAAGATTCACGGATTTCAGATTCAATTGCAACTTAATCATCAACTTGATTCTGAAAAATAAGTACAGACTTGTCCTCAAAAAGTGCCGAGATAACAAAGTGCCGAGGCGTCTATGTAACGACTTCACCAGGTGCCGAGGCGTCCAAGTACCGACTTCGCCAGGTGCCGAGGCGTCCAAGTACCGACTTCGCCAGGTGCCGAGGCGTCCAAGTACCGACTTCGCCAGGTGCCGAGGCGTCCAAGTACCGACTTCGCCAGGTGCCGAGGCGTCCAAGTACCGACTTCGCCAGGTGCCGAGGCGTCCAAGTACCGACTTCGCCAGGTGCCGAGGCGTCCAAGTACCGACTTCGCCAGGTGCCGAGGCGTCCAAGTACCGACTTCACCAGGTGCCGAGGCGTCTATGAATCGTCACAACAAAGGAGTACATATCCTATATAACCAGGATTTCAACACTAATTAATGATGACCATAAATCAAAAATAGCAAAATTTGATTTTATTGCAAACAATATCTTCTTGTGTATACATATATAAAACAATAAACGAGTACTGTATGAACACAACTCGTCAAAAGTACTGTTTTGATTGATAGCGAGTAAACAAAAACCTACGTAACAACAATAGTTTATGTTTGTGTAAAAATACTTGGTGCTTGAAAGAAACTCACTGAGTAAAATGATGTACACATGTAGGTAAAGTGATGGGATGAAATTAAAATAAATTGTTTTGCTTGCTCCTGTGCTGTGCAATCAAAACTTCCATCTAGGGAAGTCAGAAAGAGGCTGGTGGCTGAGGGGAAAAAAATGTAAATTTTTAAGACGTTTTCAGTTAAACATTTGGGAAAACATGTATTTTAAGACATTTTTATGAGTTTTTTATTTTTATCTAAACAGGTACGACAAAGGTGGATCTTTTCACAGAATGCTTGGAATGATTTTGGATTTGAGGTCGATAAGAGTTATTTCCCTTTTTGGCGACTGAGGCCTCCTCGCATAGGGGACATCCCAATCTTACGACTGAAAAAACATGCACAATCTCCGTGTCCAGCATAGTGACCACATTATCAAAGTGTTAAAATAATCCCTCCTTCTTTAATATCAGGCGATCATCAGTTGTGTCAGTATATTTTTGCACACTCGCATCTACCCATGTAATGGACGGTTTAACCCACGCGAACTTTTCAAGGGAGATAACTCCCTCTTAACAACTATTAACAAAATTATAAAACTAAAGAACAATATAAAATGAATATAATCTCAATGAAACAATAGCCAGGGACTTCAAAATAAACTTTTCCGTAGATACATTTTGATTTAGGTACAGAGGTATTTATACATTAATCAATAATTTTACTTCATATTTCCAGATCTTTATCCACATACTGACATCACATACACGTTTACCAGCCTCAAATACATCTACATCATCGACCAAGTCTCTTCCATGTTTAAAAACTCATTTTCTTTAAAAGAACCATTTTTAACTTGAGTTGTGCTAATTTGTTTTGAATTATTTGTCAGTCAACAGGTCCTGTTTCTACATCAAATGGAGAGTCCACGTCAATGACTCCAGATTCCGAAATGATTACATCTGAGTAAGGTTTGTCGCGGGCGTCCACATCGGTGTCAAGGTTTTCTATCTTTCTGACCACATTCATACCCTCCAGAATCTTCCCGAAAACAACATGCTTTCCGTCCAACCATTTGGTTGCTTTGCACGTGATGAAAAATTGGGATCCATTTGTGTCAACTCCTAAAACACAAATACGTGTATTTGTAAATGTTATGAATTTGTGATTAAAAGTTATTATAAATAACATTAATAATTGATAATAATAAAATAAATAATTGTTCAACTTCAAAGGTAATAATAATAACATCAATTTCACACTAACGCAAGGAAACGGAAATACCATTTGTACAAAGAGTTACCATAGTCTGGCCAAGTAAGATTAACCCAGAGGTCCCCAACGCTGACAATGTCTCAACACATGGATCTTAAGGGTATTTTAGAAATAAGGGTAAATAACAGAAGACATGGTATGTACCTGCGTTTGCCATGCTGACCCATCCAGCTCCATAGTGGGCAAGTTTAAAGTTCTCATCGGCGAAATATTTCCCGTAAATACTCTTACTTCCGGTTCCGTCACCCGCGGAGAAATCTCCACCTGGTTGTAGAAAACAATCGAATTAGTACATTCCTTCGATCAATTATTAAACAAGAAGAGCACGATAAATGTAAAATGTCAGTAAACAATAAACACAGAAATAGTGACACGTTCCGGAGAGTTTGGATTCCGGTAAATGTAGTGGTTGCCTGTTGGATACATATTTCACAATGTGACAAAATACTGTTAATTTACACGTGCAAAACATGAGAGAAAGTGATGAAGCCTTCTGCAAAACATTATCTTTTTACAATTTCACAGTGCTCGATAACAACATACGGCATGAAGTCGTCAGCGTAAAGTCAATTTATCAAGCTTGATGTCTTGTTAATAAAAGCGTATATAGACAGATCAGCCGTTTCTCTTAGTGTTTTATTTTCTGATATCTAAACCCGAGGGGCCGATTGATTTAAATATGTTCTATTAAAATGCTTCGTTCCTGTTGTTATTACGTCAAAAACATTGTTAAGATATTCAGCACAAGAAAAAAACATTTAACCAAGCATTCAAGACTAATATGACGTCATCAAAATAATGACGTCAGAGAGAACGTACCTTGGATCATGAAGTCTTTAATCACACGGTGGAACTTGCTTCCTTTGTAGCCGTAACCATTAGCGTGACTGGCCAATTGGACGAAGTTCTCTGTTGTCAGGGGAACTGTATCTCCAAACAGACCGAATACGATCCGCCCAGCCTCCTCGCCATCAATTGTGATGTCGAAATACACTTTATTCGTAATGGTCAAGTCACCTCCCTGTGTAATGGGAAAAACATCAGGATGACATTTACATAAAATAAAAAGAAGGCAAATCGTGGTGTTTTTTTTTCTCTCCTTTGCAATTTATTCGAATAATTGCTTGAACCTGGATTGGAAAATTTGAGTTCTGTCCATCGTTTAATTGAAATGTTTTTGCATGTGAATAATACTTTATTGATATAACAGACTTAAACATATCTCGTATTGATTCTATTTAATTAATTATATTAATTGAAAATAGCTTTTATGTGGTTGCCCATTGCAATACATGTTGGGCTTACTGGTCTAAATACGTGTCTGGTATTTTTTATCATTAAAACTTGCTGTAGTCATGCATTGTGTCATAGTAAGAACTCGGCGTGAAGTTTACCAGCACCAAGCTAGAGAGATGATCATCCTCCAATGGTATTCACCGGCCAATGAGTCATGCAACAACAGTATACAGTTTAAAACGAGAGATGTTTTCTCTGGAAAAGAGAGAGATACCAGAAGTTATCATCGGAGACAGGAAAAAACAATGAATTACCTCCCTTTACCAAAACGCTACGCCTCTTTTTTCTTTGCCACGCTATTTAATTCATTCACCCCCGAAATTTCATAATGAACGGTAAGAGTTCGAAGGTGCCTTCAGGAGTGATTAACAATCACATAAAATAAGCATATAAATGACATAACGTGACTATTGTTGATTTACCGAGTAGTAATGATACGTCATTGACAATAATATAGGTTAAATAATAAGTGGCGGATCCAGCGGTGTTGTCCTAGTTGCCCGGGAAACACCTTTTTTTCTATGTCCGAAAATAATCTGCACCAAGGTTTTTGAAGATTTTCCTCTTTTCATATTGGATTTTCTTCTAATATCAAACATCCCTTGAACTTTGATTTTCTCTGGCTTCCCCTTGCCAGCAGTTTGAATAAATATATATGCCTAAGGGTGTTGCCCAAACAAGGAGTCCACTACTTGTACTCTAAACAATAGGAGATTAATCCTCTATTGTCTATATAATAGTAGGGTTTCCAGATAGGTCAGTGGTCAAGGCTCACCGGACTGACTCTACCTAATCGTATTGTTATAATATCACGGTGTGGTGATCATCCTGTCTGTTGGGAGAGTTCAATTCAATTCATTTATTGACTTTGAGCTTTACAGCTCATCAGTATGTACACAATACATATAAATACAGTGGCAGACACTGCAATAACGCAGTGGAGAATGGACAAAAAATGCATGTAGAGGACTATACCATCTGTTGGAATTAGGTTCATAGGTGAAGTGTTATTTTAAAAGTAGAGTCCATTTCATGAGAGATAAACCTGTATTTTCACATATGGTTTCATGATTATACCAACTAAAAAATATAAAATTCAAAGACAATAAAGCACCCTCCTTAGCATCACTTTATCAGGTGTATAATAACCAATATTAGCATAAAAGCCTAGCATGTATATCCTTTTCATTAGGTGTTGCCCTTGTAGGCGTACAAATTCACAATAAACGACAAACAGTTAAATCATAATTCATATTGATGACAAAATAAATCAATATTCAATTGCTCAAATGCTCGCCTTAACTACAAGCACATTAAGTACATAACATAAACATCAACATTTTAATCAAAAACCAACATTTTACCATTGTTTAAATACTTTAAGAGAATTTGTTAACACCCGCTCCGCTCGGCCATCACAAAATATAAATACACTATGTTATAAAATACAACCTGGAATAATACCGCAAAATCAGAAAACTATTCTATGCCTCATTCCATCTGTTTGACAATAGAAATAATGTCCGAAAAATTCTTGCTTTCTACGCTCGGTAGTGCTTGAAATAGTTAAGTATTACATCTTGAGAAGAAGAAAAAATCGCATCACTACGCTCGGCAAAGAAATTATTACTGTCACTTTCTCAGAAATAATGAAGTTCTATATATATTTTGGCGCCAGAAAGTAGTATACATGTCCAACCGACAAGGCGATTCTAACATATCAGTTAGAGATGTAGATATGTGCAAAAATTTGTCTTTTTCTGATGTTAAAATTTTGTACATAAACCCAAAATTAATTCCTGGGTCCTCCCTGATAATAACAGCCCTCCTCCCGACCCCCAACAGCTACGCAATTTCATCCAGAAAAAATATCCGCAGGGGGTTATTGCCCCCTCCCCATCAGACTTCCGGCCGTGTGTGATATATAATCCTCGTAACTCGGCTTGACCTCTGACCACATGGTATCCGATTATCCACGATTAAATAGACAAGACTTTGAAAACGAACCAAGCTTTTCAAAGCTTTGTTAGCTTACAAGTCGCATTAAAAAAAAATAATAATATCAATTTCTATGCATTTAAAAGTATAAAATTGACATAGATGGAACGCCCTTTACACATAGATAGTTGATAGTTGAGTGTTTTGAAAAGACACTTTTAGTGGCACATAAGTATTCGTGTAAGGGGAAATGTGTAGTTTTCAATAATCTAACGAGGCTTATAACAATAAATAGATCTGATAATTTGTTACAGATAAGCTTATGTTCGGACCTAAACTGATGTGTGAAGAACCCCTACCCTTTATACCAGACATTTTTTTTACCGAAGATTTATCTAAGAATTTATCTTAACCAGGGTCTATTATTACTCTGAACGCATAGGGTTTTGTCCAAACATAGCTGAATTGTAACAAATTCTCAAGTTCCGGTATTATTTACAGTGCTTGTGCAGGGAACCGAAGCCGAGCTATCTCTCTATATAATGTCCCCGCCTGACACACTCGTTGTACAGTGCTGCATGATCCCTTTCAAGATTTTTTAAAGATTTTTATTTCACTCAGACACACATAATATGTGTAACAAGAGGGCATGTATATATAACATAGTTTGAGTGCATGACAGGCAAACATTCTATTTTATAGCATGTTACATAATTTTATATATACGTGTAGTTACATACAAATAATTCAGTGTTCAACTTTTATAAAATGTCACTAGCAAACAAAAGAAAAACTAGAATAGAGACACTGAAGTACTTTTGTTAATTTTTGAACAAATAAGCTTACACCTTTTAACAATTTCACTGACACACTCGTGATCGTTAATTTGAAATTTACTTATTTCAACAGAGGGAACTAATAAACCTTAGCAGACTACCTTTATACACTATACATTGGGATGTAGTATATCCGAATTGTGTGCACGTTTAAAAATAGACTGTAATAAATATAAGTACACTGTGATGCCCGGACTGGTCACGGACAAAGGCGGGCCTGTAACTTACACACGTTTTTCTCACGCTACTCAGCGTCTTTGCACACGTAGACTGGCCACGTATACAACTATGAGTACCATCTCCTCCTTTGGGCACGACTTTTGAAATATATACTGACTGGGTTTGGCATATTTAGGAAAAGCAGCGAACAAGTTGAGGAGTAGCTCATGTGACTTCAGTATTTTTGTTTATAAATATAAAATAGAAATCATACAAGAGTTTATTCCATTTGGCAGTAGATATGAAATATATGAAATATATCATCTATGTTGCAGATTTCCACAAGTTCGTGGTTCACTTCTCCTGATACCAAAGTTATACAAAAAGTTTCAAACTTCACAATGTAAAGACAACATAACAATAGTTACCTGTACAAATTTCAGAAGGGTCAGTCCAACGACAACCAGCATTTGTAAGACGTCCATGATGTTCCACTTCAAGCTTGAGAATATCAGCCTCTGCAGTGCCACGTAGAAGATATAGATGTGCCGAAAAGTAGAAACGTCTTGCCACGGGGTAAGTCGTAAACTAGACGAGGTCCTAACTTACGGAGGGGGTATGAGCCTTATGGGGGGCCACACAGGGGGGAATGTAAGACAACACCAACACTGGAAGTAAATGTGCAAATAATAATTCTGACTTACGTATTCTTTTTGACTCTGAATCTGACACCCCCGGGGTTCCTCACACCAAGTCCCCTCCCAACAGTTACGGACAGTGATATAGTACCGGTAGTAACAGTGACACTCGAAGTTTATCAGTCACGCCTATAATCAGGTCACTTTTATTAAATATGTTTCCATTAAAGACAATCCTTGTAGTCTATAGACCCCATCTATAACACACCTTTTTAACTGAATTATGATTTACTATAAAATAATTAAGCTGAGTTTATTTCCGATACAGGATATCTTCAGATCATCTACATCAGACTCAACATATTACAACAATATATGTGACATTTTATATGGATCCTTGATATACCTCAAATCTGTGACTTATATGATAGTTCCCGTGTTTCCAAATTCTGTTCAAATCTATTTTTTAAAAGTATTTCAGCTATTTCCCTTGTAAGTCCCAAATAAAGGGCCACACAGTCCTATAAAAACATAACCACATGTATGTATGTATGAATCAAAGTACTTCCTGTGTCCGCATGCCATATGCAATACAATTTATATACACATACGCACGTGAGTCAACACGAAATGGCCAACACTTACGCCTTTTGCGTGTTTCGAATTGTACATCTTGTTATTAATAAATAATGTAACGTTGCAAAATGTCTGATTATTTATTCAATATGACTGACATCATAAGTAACTAACTTCTGAATTTCCTCTCTTTTTGAAACTATTTGTTAATCCTCTGTAGGTGGTTCTCAAATAATCGTCAAATCAATACCGCCGTCCCTCCCTGCTATGGTCGAGGAGGCCCCCCGCCACGATTGTCCGGTCCGTTGGATCTCTCTAGTCTATGACGTCTTCTGATTTTGTAGTGTCATCTTGCATGGTAAATTAGTAACAATCTCACTACACATCCGGATTTGACGCAACGTCAATCCGAAAAAAACATTTGTCTATGTTCTTTTCGAATGATACTGTGACGACCATTAATGAGACACGCTTGGCAGTCCTGGAAGAATTCACGGATCAGCTGATGATGGTCCACATTAAGGCCTTGGCCTTATTTTATCCCCGTTTTCAAGAAAGGTATATTCACAGCCATCCCGTTATACGTAACCCAATGTTTCCAAACCTTTATTACAACAATTGAAGGTGTCCCTAATAGAGCTTTGTTTTCTGTCTTAGAAAGGGGATGTTGATTGTACGTTGTCCACCTTTCCCTGGGGTTTTCTGTTAACGTGAATACTTGCACACCTTACCCTGCAGAAGGGGGGAAGCATTTTATATTCAGAAAAAGACAAATTTTTGCACTTATCTAGAACTGATAACTGATAATTGTCATGTCAGTTGTACATGTATACTACTTTCTAGCGCCAAAATATATATAGAACTTCATTCTTTCTGAAGTATATGAGATTGTGACAATTATAATTTCCCTGCCGAGCGGAACGAGTCAAAAAAACATTCTGAAGATGTATTACTAAACTATTTCAAGCACTGCCGAACGTTGGAAGCAAGAAATTATCGGACATTATTTCCATTGTCAAACAGATAGAGTGAGGCGTAGAATAGTTAAAATTATCTGAGTTTGCGGTATTATTCCAGGTTACATTCTATCACGTAGAGTATTTATATTTTATGATGGCCGAGCGGAGCGAGTGTTAACAAATTCTCTAAAAAAATATGGTAAACGTGTAGGTTTTCGGTTAAAATGTTGATATTTGTGTTGGCCTTCATGTGCAATTTATATTTTTTAATTGATATAAAAAATCACTCCTGATCATGTGTACATGAAACCACAGGTGAACATACAGGTTTATCTATCATGAAATTGACTCTACCTTTGAAATAACACTTTACTTATATACCTAATTCCAACAGATGGTATAGTCCTCTCTCAACTGACAGGGTGATCACCACACCGTGATATTATAACAATACGATTAGGTAGAGTCAGTCCGGTGAGCCTTGACCACTGACCTATCTGGAAACCCTACTATTATATAGACAATAGAGGATCTATCTCCTATTGTTTAGAGTACAAGTAGTGGACTCCTCGTTTGGGCAACACCCTTAGGCATATCGATATATATTCAAACTGGCAAGGGGAAGCCATAGAAATTCATAGTTCAAGGGATGGTTGATATTAGAAGGAAATCCCATATGAAATAGGGGAAAATCTTCAAAAACCTTGGTCCAGATTATTTTTGGACACATAAAAAGGGTATTGCCCGGACAACTAGGGCAACACCCCTGGGTCCGCCGGCCTGGGACTTTCTGTTAACGTGAATACTTGCACACATTTCCCTGGCAATTTCTATGATCTTGACCACTTTTCCACCTTTCTCTGGGGATTTCTATAATCGTGACTGTCTTACTCCATCGAACTCGTTTCCGCTTCCGGCCAGTATTAAGGGATGTGACTGGCACCACCTTGGAACTTCCGCATCCCATATTTATCCCGGCAGAGTTTGACCCAAGAAAAAAACATTTGTTGTGATCACTAGGAAAATCTGTGATCACTTGTTGTGATCACTAGGAAAACACGCGTCTTCCCGAAATGCTTTATACTTTGCTACTATGGCGTCATAATGTTGATGGCGTCATAGTTAAATCCTATTCAACCCCTCACAACGCTCCCTGAGTTCTCGAACAGATAATTGACTTATTTTAAATGAAAACTTTCTGCTTTCGTTTATTGTGAATCGCACTTGATGGAACAATATAAGTATTTGGAAGGAAAGTAAGTTAATTCCACATTCAGTGTCCAGGTATAAACCAAAACATTTTGTTTGTGCAACTACTCAAAATTTTCCACCGTCGACTGTCAACTATCGGTTTCGAGTTCAAACAAAATTTCAATTTCTAATCGACAGTAACAACACTTTTGTTGGGTGTTGTTATCTAATTTGAAAAGTAAAAGTTGTTAGTTCTGGAAATTTGGTATGGTCCAAATAAAAATATATTATAATAACTTTCTCTAGGTCGGTGGGTGGGGGATTTCTGGAGTATCCAAAAACACACCCGTACAGTCGCATGCCGAGGTCCTAGTCCAACTATTCTGACGTTTTATCGACTTTTTTCATATCGGTCTGTCGTCGTCGGTTAATCGACGACAGACCGATATGAAAAAGTCGATAAAACGTCAGAATAATTCGGCCTAAGGTCCGAACTGAAGTTACAAGCCGTAATAGGGTGTTCTCATTTCCCCCACGTTTTATAGAACAAATAAAAGTGTTGTTATAGGAAGACAATGGCAAACCGATTATAGTCCGTTTCATACTTACTCTTTATTTATTTATTGATCGATCGATTGCTTGATTGATTGATTGATTGGTTGGTTGATAGGTTTTGTGTCAGCTTTACTGCCGAATAGTTCGGTTATCCAGCAGACGAAGAACAGAAAGGAAAATGAGTAGAAGGGATAAAGTATGGAATGGAGTAAAGAGTAGAAGAGGGGGATAGGTTAGAGAAGGAGCCGTCTATCCTATATAAAATTATATTAACTATATAAGTCTAGTTTTTGTAAGACGGCTCCTATGCCTAATGATGCCTTAACTCGTCGTACAGCATCACTAAGCCTGGACCGGAATTGAGGTACTGTGCCGCCGCCAGCCACACCAGACCCTGCCTATTCTATGAATTTGGCTTGTATATAAAATTTGGAAATACAACTTATGGCAATTACAGATAAGACAAAGACACTCACAAGGACACACTCACACTGACTCGGAAACATCATCCTCATCATCAAGAACACTCACACTAACTTGCACACATCATCCTCATCATCATCATCACATCATCAACATCATCAACATCATCAACATCACATCATTACATCATCAACATCATCATCATATCAGCAACAGCAGCAGCAATCATTTGTCATTCATCATACTCACATTCATACACACGCCAGAACCATTTTTCACCCTCATTCACCCATACAAGACTTATCAATATAATGGTATATTACATAATTTGTATACAATAAACTGATGTAAAACATGTATCTTAACATGACCTGTTCTATTGAAGACCTCTTAATAAATCTGCTCTACTTTTAAACGCTAGTGATAAATACATTCCTAAATTATTAAGTTCTTTTGTGTTTTCGATTGTGAGTAATTGAACAAATTTATACATACTAGGCCTTTTGAAATAATATTTCTTTATGTATTTAGACCGGAGGTCTGAATAGCGATTACATTTAATTATAAAATGAAATTCATCTTCTATATCATTTTCATTACATAAAATACATTTTCTTTCTTCTCTAGGTATCTCTCTGTAACGGCCACGTTCAATAGACAGGTCATGCGCACATAAACGTTACGTATCTTAGAAATATGTTTTAAATAATTAATACTTTCCACTAAATGCTGATATAATACTCCTTTAGAAGAAGAATGAAAAAATGTGGATAAATTTACTTTCTATAATCACTTGGGGTCAAGTGTAATTGATTATGTTCTCAAACAAAAATATTCCTTTGGTATGATCACTGAATTTAATGTGCTTGTACATGCAAGTTGTGATAATCTTGTTAATAACGTTAGAAGTAATTTAACAATAAATACATATAAATGGAACGCTGATAAAGAAGCTCAAATGAATAGTAATTTAGATGAGAACATTAATTTATAACTTAATATTGTTAATGACATGCAGTCCTCTGTTGTCTCAGTAGATCACGGTATTGATCTTTTAGCCCATGTTGTCAATCTTTTTCTACTCCACCATCTGACAGTAATTTAAATATCGTGCCCATAAACCCTGGTTTGACGATAAATGTAGACGACTGTACAAATTGTATCGACGCAGTTCATGTTCTTTTAATTCCGACAGAACCCCTGCCAACAGGTTGTCTCTTGTCGAATCCAAGCGTAAGTATAAGCGGTATGAAAGGCTGGTTAAACGTAAATATTTTAGAGACCGTTTAAGTCTGTTTCGCAGAAAAAATCCATTTTTTTTAACGATATTTTAAGAAAAAGTCGGACTGCCCCACAAACCATTTGAATCTTGGAGACTTTTTCGAACAATTTAAAGCTGTAAGTAGTGGCAACGATGATGCTACAGATAATCCAAATACTTCAGACTACGACAATTCACAGATTTATGACGAATTAGATTCTCCTATAACAGATAAGGAAGTAATGAGTGTTTTAAAAAGCGCTAAATTATGTAAATCCCCTGGAATTGATAACACTCTTAATGAATTTTTAGTTAAACATAAGGAGACATTTGCCCCCATACAAATTGATATATCTTCTAATGAATATAATAATAATATAATAATAATAAAGGCTTTATTATTCTTGATAACATATTGAGCATGAAGCTCATCTTACATATGGTCAAGATACAATGTATGATAAAAATTACAATATTTACAGCTAAAATCATGCCATAAAGTTCCGGTGCGCGTCTACATTACAGATAAGACACAATTTAAAAAGCTATTTATGAATTGTTTCACACTCCAATTGGCACTAGTAATTTAAACACAAACAAATGATGCCGAGATACAAAATATGTGGGATTGTTGCATCATAATTAAAAATGACCAAGCAAAAAATAAGAACTGTTATTATCGCAAATATACACTACAGTCCGACAGTCAAGTGTCACCCATTTTTCGTTGTAAATTATCCCAGATGTAGGAGATGTGCTGCTGCGTCACGTACTCCATAAATAAAAGTCCATCATCCGGTTCTCAAGGTGTGCTTAGACTTAATGGTAGAACTCATCGTTATCTCACTAATTACAATAGGCCTAGATCACTTTCAGTTCACCAGGATGGAAATGAAGTTATTAAATGATTCTGATGATAGTTATGATATACTTCTAACATCTAGGAATTTAGATTTTTTTTTTTAAAGTTTAATTATCAACTGTTAAACACCACACTCTTAGTCACACATAACCATTCTTACTAGGTATTTAGGCATCTTATTTAATGTTATAATAATGAAGAAAAGTTTCATTTTATAACTATTAATATTATTATTTTAATAATATGTTTAAAGTACAAAATTATTACTTATTAAAATAACATATTTCATCTTATCATATGTCATATTAGCAACACAAGGACTACAGAATGGATATATTCAATATATATATAATTAATAGTGAAATATTTTAAATTTCAACATTTGTTATTAAAAATCTGAAAAACCAATATGGTGTATTATTAAATTAAATATTATCAGCATTCAGCTTAGATAGAACACCACCTTAGATAAAAGGGTTAACCACAGGTAAAAACACAGGTAAATACAGGTACAACTCAGAAACAGACTATAATCCTTCTAACAACATTCTTCTCCCCATGTTATTTTAAAAAGCGGGGGAACTATGAACAAGCCATCGTAATCATGTCGTAAGTACATTTACACAATAGCAATTAAGTAATTAGTTTGAGTGACATCCGTCATTCATAGCAATCGGCCTTTCAGACCCCGGCCGTACCCGACCATGTAAGCCAATTTAGCTGTCCTTTGTCTGAGACTGAATGCAGTGTCCGATCTGATATGACCAGTTAATCCTGTTACGTAATATAATTAAGTTGAAAGATATATGGTATAAGATGGACAAAGTAAATGCATGAGTTAATCTGACAACAATAACACATGTCGACTTTAAAGGAAAAGCTTCATAAATGGAACTTATCTAAATTGAGACAAGTTAAGGAGAAACAATTTCCACAATATATAATCTATCATCACGGAATTAGATTATCTAAGTCCGTGGTATCGCTGACGAAGCCAAAGCACACAACTTTTAATCGACTAATGACTTTTGGAAAAAGGTCCAGAAAAGTACACATAAAGAAAACCAGAAATATCCAGTGACTGTAATCAGGGACGTATATTGAAGGGGATTAGCAACTCCCTCTCTGCCTTACCAATTTTATGACACGTCAATCTAGACTTACCTCCCCCTGATTCCGGAGCAGATAGTGAACGCCACCTATCTCATTTTTGACAAAGCAAGATGGCGTCGATACCGCTTCGTTAGATGCAGAAGTTGGTGTGAAAACAAACCAATCTCGATAAGTGTTCTTACGTCTTCTGTTTATCCCATTGTTATAAGCTCATTGTATTACTTTTAATTGATAAAATCTGTGGTATCATAGTTTTTGATGTGTTGTTTTTGGGGTATATTTTCTTATTTTTAAACGCGATGTAACGCGTGGTTCAGAATATTGTGGTGGGCGTCGACAGAAAAAAATGCGGGATAAAAAAAAACCCACATGTATGTGAACCACCTCACTCCAAAAGTATTTGACCGATCTTTTTTAAATTAGCAGCAATAGAAAGCTGAATAAATTTTATAACGACCTAACCCATTTTAATTGCAAATTATATAATTTAACTTGTGTTATTTTGTGTCAAAAAGACTAAATATCAGCATTATTTTTTTGCTGGAACGTAAATCATTATTGCGAAAGTAGTTGGTGACTGCTCACTGTTTTGATTAGATTTTATAAACTATCGATTATATTTTTTAAAACAATTAATATCAATAAACAGCTGAGTAATTTCTATGTTAAGTAGGCCTGATTTGATTTGCATTACTTGGAACGATAGCGATGTCACAGATGAAATTACTCGTCTGGTAACGAAGGACACGTGTTGTTAAAAACCGTAAACAAAAATGCGGGATACAAAAAACCCACATGTATGTGAACCACCTCACTCCAAAAGTATTTGACCGATCTTTTTTAAATTAGCAGCAATAGAAAGCTGAATAATTTTTATAACGACTCAACCCATTCTAATTGCAAATTATATAATTTAACTAGTGTTATTTTTGTGTCAAAAAGTGTAAATATCAGCAATATTTCTCACCGGAACGTAAATCATTGCGAAAGTAGTTGGTAACTGCTCACTGTTTTGATTAATTTTATAAACAATCGTTTGTAAAAAAAATTTAAACAATTAATATCAATAAACAGCCGAGTAATTTCTATGTTAAGTAGGCCTGATTTGATTTGCATTATTTGGAACGATAGCGATGTCACAGATGAAATTACTCGTCTGGTAACGAAGGACACGTGTTGTTAAAAGCCGTAAACAACCGGAAATGTTAAACGCAACAAAAAAGTATCGCCTGCATTCGAGGATCAGCTCATTTAAAAAATACTTCTTTTTGAAATTTACAGCGATAGAAAGTTGAATATTTTTTTTATATGAAGTACTAATTTTTATGGCAAAAATAACAAATAACTTGTGTGCTGTTTTTGTGTCGAAAAGTGTCAATATTAGCATTATTTTCACTTGAACGTGCTTTACGAAATGTGATTTGTTGTAATAGCCACCAACACAGCCGAAAGGCTAGACATAGTGACAAGGATAGCCCTGCCCTTGAATAAAAAGAAGACCTACTATTTCACAGTCCCAATCAGGGCTAACCGTTATCAAAATACTTCGATCTCGGCGAGATTGTTGACATGACACCGAAAGCAGATCCGTGCTTAATTTTAACGCTAGTGCGCAAGCGCGGGCAGATCGAGAGGGGCTCTCGATGACTTCGCGGTTCGGTGAACAAACACAAAAGCGAAGTGCTATAGAATCTTGACTGGGGCAGAGTTGCCAATCCCCTCTATATACTGTCCCTGCTGTAATCGACAGAACGTGTAAATTAGAAATACTTAGATGGCATAGAACAATATAGAGAGACTACTGGAGCTGTTAGTGCCGGTTCACATTGTACTATATATGATAAACAACGACAACCTTACTGTCAACAGAGACGTATAATACGTCTCTGCTGTCAACCACACAGGTTCAGACAGAGACCGGAATACTATTTATTTAGTTGCAAATCCGTTAGTTTAGCCGGACTGGCCGCTACCAGCCCCTACTGAAGTTTTTTGTGAAGAACTTCTGCTGCAAGAAAACTGCATTTTACTACTAGCTTATCTCCTCCTAGTTAAGAATCAAAGTGATCAAAATTATTAGATTTTTTTTTTAATAATTCAATATTCTAGAGCGGTGCCAGTCTACCGTTAGTTGTGTGCAACAATAGATGTATAAATAAGAGTTGCGTCCCTTGAACCGTCATTTATTTGATGATCTCAAAGTAAAACAGCGATTTCTTTCGTGAGGTTAATGTTTTTAATCTTTAAAATGCCAGAAATGGTCTGCCTTACACAATTGAAAGATATTCTGTGTCACTTTTAATTGAGATATAGAGTACAGCATTTGCTTAATTATACAATGTCTCGATTTCTTTCGACATCGTCATTTACGACAATTGATTGCCCGGTACATTCTGCTTTGTGGTAAATCGATACGTGGCCGTGTTGCAGAGACTGGACTACTATGGAAGTTTTACAATTTTTCGCTTTTGTTCTGTTGGCTCTTCTTCCTTGTGTACAGGTAGATCGATTGTTTAATTAGTATAATTGTCAATTGGAGGTAGCCTGTTTGCACCGAGACCTAGCTTATTGGCAATCGTAAGCACAAAGAGGAACTGTTATAACTTACAGACGAATTATAGTAAACTGATACATTACAGTAGGCCTTCTTGAGGTTTGAGTGCACTTGATTCTGGGAGGTGGCATTAAAATGTTAAAAACAATTATTTTTGTTAATTTGTACTTTAAGATAAAAACAGAAAACACTTTATGGGAGGTTGAAACTAGCCAGGACAGATCTGAAAGAGTGATGATGGTAGCGAATTCCATCAATGGTAGCGAATTCAAGTTAATAATAGTTCTAGGGAAGAATGAATATTTATACAAATTTGTGTGGGTTGAAATTTGATTAATTCTGTGGGCCCCTTTGGTTCTCCTGTCGCCTGATGTTATGTCGCTGGGCTAGGGGCTCCAAGTTAAGTATATTTATCATGTTGGTGACACATCCAGGCTCTCTATATCTATGATCATTAAATACGTATCTGGCAGCCCTATGCTGTACGTTTTGAATTGCTAGGACCTGGTCTGAAATAAAAGGGTCCCAGCAAGTGGCTGCATATTCTAGTGATGGTCTTACTAGTGTGGTGAATGTCTGGGTTTTGACTTTTCTAGTGCATGATGACATGTTGCAACACAAAAAATCCCAGTGTCCTATTTGCCTTGTTGGTGATGGATTGTATGTGTTTATTCCAATTAAGGTCTGAGGTGAAAGCGACCCCTAGGAATTTGCTCGAGTCTAAATATTCCAAAACTTGATTGTGCCTATTATTGTAAACAGGGCGAATCCATCCCGATGTCACCTAGTGCGTGACAATGTGGCCCGAGGATGGGACATTCTATTTTATATTTATCTAACCTAAAAAAACATCACATTTAGAATCAACTGATCAAGCACACAGGGTACCTGAGAATTTGTTACAGCTATAGTTGGACATCAACTAAGGTGTTATGAGTAATTTGACATGTTTAGGGGTGAAGATTGACTTTCGATAAAAATGTCACCCGATGAAGTCTCAAAAGAAATGAAAAATGCCCCATAAACAGAAAACCTTTTAATGCTGAGAGATAGTCAGTTATAATTTGAATCAAAAGTTTTGATTATCAGACATAAAAAAAGAAAATATTCATTAAAATCCATTAACAATTTTAATATTTTCCCATATCCTATTTTCAGTAGCTGCAGGCCCATATCTCATTGTCCTCTTTTAATGGTATCTTATATGTGCTGGCTTGTGACTGGACTAATATAAAGGCCAATGAGCTGTGGACACATGATTAAGAAGGCTGAAGTGTATCACAGTTTGTACTGCTATGTAGCCCTTCCATGACGTAGGGTTGTCCCTACTGTAGAACACCAAATTTCAAATATACATATCAACTTGCAGTGGCGGACCCAGGGGTGTTGCCCTAGTTGCCCTGGCAACACCCATTTTCTGTGTCCAAAAATAATCTGGACTAAGGTTTTTGTAGATTTTCCTCTATTTCATATGAGATTTCCTTCTAATATCAACCATCCCTTAAGGTAATAGGATTGTGTCGCCATTTCTCAGTAGAATTTATTCAAATTTTGTAGTTATATTGTTTTGAAGTTAAGAAAATGTTCTGCCACAAAAAAATAGGTTGTCAGGATTTTAAGGATTTTAAATGGAAATTTATGTAAAAAGGATTGAATTTTGAAAAAAGACTTGAAACACAATTTTTTTTTGCAAAATAATGTCAATAAAAATAATACTAACATAGATTAGTATTGCATTAATGTATATTTATTTCATAAATGCTGAAATTGTGTAAAATTAATCATCTATAAACGATTGAAAATTGACATTTTATAATAAACCATATACACATAGTAAATGCATGCAATGAGTTATCGTTCTTGGAAAACTTCACAGTAGTGAAATAGCTAGGTAGCCGGTTTCCTGAAGTACAGCAAAAATGGACACATGTGACTCATTGATAAAAAACAACAACTGAATGAATGCCTGGATTGCTTTGCAATACTTTAATATTGAAAGAACACACTGTTCTGTCAATAATAAGCATACAATATTCATCAGTTTAATATTAAACATTAGAATATGCGGAAATTGTGATACTGTCTCCCTACATTGGATTTTCAACTAGGGATGTACTTCCTACTTCCGTTTAGCAATACATTCCTATGACCTTAAACTATTATTTTCTACTATGGCTTCCCCTTGCCAGCAGTTTGAATATCTATATATGCCTAAAGGTGTTGCCCTAACAAGGAGTCCACTACTTATACTCTAAACAGTAGGGGAGTAATCCTCTATTGTCTATATATTACATGTAGTAGGGTCTCCAGTCAGGTCAGTGGTCAAGGCTCACCAGACTGACTCTACCTAATCGTATTGTTATAATATCACGGTGTGGTGATTACCCTGTCAGTTGGGAGAGGACTATACCATCTGTTAGAATTAGGTATAGAGGTAAAGTGTCATTTTAAAGGTAGAGTAAATTTCATGATAGATAAACCTGTATTTTCACCTGTGGTTTCATGTACATATGATCACCAGGAGTGATTTTTTAAACCAATTAAACAAATATTTATTTTCAAAATTTCCAAGACAATGAAGCACCCTCCTTAGCATCACTTTATCAGGTGAATGATAACCAATGTTAGCATAAAAGCCTAGCATGTATATCCTTTTCATTAGGTGTTGCCCAAGGGCCTTGTACATATGTATGCGTACAAATTCACAATAAAAGACAAACAGTTAAATCATAATTCATATTTATGACAAAATACATCAATATTTAATTGCCAAATTGCTCGCCTAAACTATATGCACATGAATGGCATGACACAAGCATCAACATTTTAACCAAAAACCTACATTTTTACATATTTTTTTTACAGAATTTCTTGACACTCGCTCCGCTCGGCCATCATAAAATATAAATACTCTACGTAATAAAATATAACCTGGAATAATACCGCAACCTCGGAAACTATTCTACGCCTCACTCGATCTGTTTGACAATGGAAATAATGTCCAATAAATCCTTGCTTTCTACATATGCTCTGAGTTTAAAATTTTTGGGCAACACCCAAAATTAATTCCTGGGCCCCCCCTAATATGCCCAAGTTGCTGTACCTACCTGTTGTTAATATAAGTTCATTTAAACTGTTGATAGGTTCCTCTCAGCTGAAATAAACTTTAAATGCTATTTTCTAGTTCGTTTTACATTCTTTCTTGGACATTATGCTTCAACCTGAAGTTTGGATTGTCCCTATTCCGTCTTTTCGTATTGCAGACTTATCTGCACTTGTGAGCAGGTATTGATTGTTACGTCATTTGTTTGTGAGAGCAATGTCATCAATTTTTGAGAAAGCGACGTAATTTTCTCACACAAACCAATGACGTAACAATGAATACCTGCTCACAAGAGAAGATAACTGCAATACGAAAAGACGGAATATGTCGATGTAGATGAAGTAATGTTATTAATTTACAGAATATGGGTTCTTTTTAGTACAGTGCAAAGTTACCTCAATGTCAAATTAACATTCAAACCACATTTTTTATGACCGGTAAATGTTGTCATTTGTGATTTAACTTAATAATTAGGAAAACAGTTCCATTTATTTGTTGTGTCAGTGAATTTAACTCTTGAGTATGAATTGTATGCCATACCACACAAGATTGTGGATGGACATTTGCTATACCTGTAATACTAATATCACATTGTCATAATCATTTATGTTTATAAATAATTTATGAAATCTTATTTATTTCCTTAGGGAGGTGACCTAGTTGTGACAAAGAGAGTTTTCTTTGACATAACAATTGGCGGAAAACCAGTAGGAAAGGTAGTGATTGGTTTATTTGGAGACGTCGTTCCCAAGACAACAGAAAACTTCGCTCAGCTTGCCTCTGGTTCCAATGGTTATGGTTTGAAAGGAAGCAAATTCCATCGAGTCATCAAAAACTTCATGATTCAAGGTATGTTCCATACATCATTGACATGTCCGCTTTTTAAAAAATCCAGAATTTGTAAACTTCCTGTTGTTCCACATAGAAAGTGAAATATGATGACTTATCGTTATTATTGAAATATCATTGCCACTCACTGCATAGATATTTGTGGGTGTATTTTGTTAGGTTAAACAGGCTCTGGGTCCAAATTAAAAATATTCTGCATCAAACCAAGAAAATTAAGCATGTTAAAATGTTCATCAATGATGCCAAACAAAAATAACGTTATTGAAGTACTTTATTGTATGATGTGCATATCCTGTCATTAACAATCTTGTTTATAATTGAAAATAAAATTTTGTAGATAGGTACTTCAGTCTCGGGTAGGTACTTCAGCCTCGGGTAGGTACTTCGGTCTCGGGTAGGTACTTCGGTCTCTGGTAGGTACCTCAGTCTCGGGTAGGTACCTCAGTCTCGGGTAGGGTTATTGGAAACCAGAAATTAGTATTTTTTAGATGGAAAATGAAGTACATTTTATTATCAACTGCTTTATCACTTTAGATGTGATAGTACAGAGATGTCCTAGTTGGACAGTATACATGTACCCACTGTACAATATATAAATTACAGAACACACCCAGCTTTATCATGTGATGTTTAATTACACCTGGACGTCTGTTGGATACAGGTGGAGACTTCACCAACAATGATGGAACAGGAGGCAAGAGTATCTATGGGGAGAGATTTGGGGATGAGAACTTTGATATAAATCACTATGGGCCAGGATGGGTCAGCATGGCTAACGCTGGTACGTACTACACGATAAGGTTTCAGTTGATTTTATATATATATATATATTGAATGACGAAAATGTTCATTTTTGTTTGTAATCAGCATGTCGTCCCTTAAGGTCTTGTAAAATGTGCTAAATACACATCTTGTCCTAAACGTGATTGAGAGTGTTTAAAAAAAAACATAATTAAAAATTCAAAATGAAGACTGTAATAACATACAATCTCAGCAATACACTGACATTTCTATTAAAACAGTACTGTATACATTGTACTACACAGTCTCAAAACTTCGAAGCCTTCACTACACAAACTTGTGTTTTCAACATAAATACAAACATAACAAAAAAACCCTGGTGTATACATTATTCTTTTGGAAAATATGATGCAAACTTCTGCATTAAATGTTATTCTCAGCAATTTGAGAATTACATCTGAAAACTACTTGTAATCTGAAATGTTATCACATTGTAGAAGTTAACTCCCTTTATCCAGTATGGTACCTGTCAGAGAGCCCCTGTCAGAGAGCCCACAAGTAGAAATGTTTTATGAATTTTAACACATTTGTGAAGTATCTTATTGCTGGCTTGTTTCAAGTGTCACCTAAATGACTTAGGATCTGTTAGGTAAAGTGATGTGGAACAAGGATATTTACACTAACAGAGTTTGCCTGAGAAAAATACAGATCTTCAGAATAGGCTGTCAGACCTTAGGATTTGGTTTGTTTTGCCTCACTGATCATGTACTACTACCTTGTAGATGTTTTTGCAAAGTTCCATCTTTCATAACACTACTGGATAGCTTTCTTCATAACAATCATGTTTCCAACTACTTAATTACCCCGGATAGTACTTAGAATATTTAATGTTAATCTGGCATGTGACTGGTTATTTACATGTGTACATGTATATTGCTTGTCATTTCTACCTATATGTATAGATTTCATCCCCTAAACCCAAGGTTTAGTTTTTAGATAATTTTAATGTCAAATATCCTCTGGCAGAGTCGCACCGTCTTTGCTAACTATAATTTTAGTGTATAGTTATAATTACATGTCGGTGCTTATAGGGAGAAACAAAGGGTCAAACTCCAGGGCTCAGTTATTCAAAGCATGAACGAAAACTTAATGCAAAATTTCAAACTAGTTTATTTTCAAAAATATTAAATGCGAAACAAAACTTGTATGTGTAAGTATTCATAATGATTTTCTAATGGCAATGGGCACAAAAGTAAACTTAAGGATAATTCTCAGAAACATTCGTAAATGTGTAGTAATGACTCACTAAGTTAACCATGTTTTAAGCGACCAGACCCAGATCATGAATATTTATATCTGTTCTCATCATCAGTTATTGTAAGATGTCTTCTGTATCATCATATCCATTGTTATAACATCACAATGGTGTAGGGATTATATTTATTGGGTTCCAGATACCTAAATTCATATAAAACTGTCACTTTTCTCATGGGACACAGACATATTTTTACACTACAGTACTATGTTACATACTTGCTATTGATGATACATTAAAAACTGATTTGGATTTCTTATTTCAAATATAAAAAAATTAACAAGGAAACCTAAACTTGTTTCCACTAACTCTGAACACAGTATTGAAGAGGGTTGAAGCCTTGGATAAATTCATATGTATCAGAATTAATGAACAAATATTTGTTTTTCAGGTAAAAATACAAATGGTTCTCAATTTTTCATCACCCTCGTTCAGACAGACTGGCTTGATGGTAAACATGTTGTTTTTGGTAAAGTATTAGAGGGGATGGACATTGTCCGGGCAATCGAAGCTCAGGACACAGACTCCATGGATCGTCCATTACAGGAAGCACTCATCGTCGACAGTGGAATTGTGGAAGGAAACGCTAACATTGTAGTGGACCCAAGTAATACGGAGGAGTGACTTAGTCTTTACAGGAGTGACTTAGTCCTTACAGGAGTGACCTGATCGTCGGGGTCTTATGTGGTTCTCTTAAGTGTGCACAGACTTTTTAAGTGTTATTGAATGTGTTTGTGGCGACAAAAATTAAAAAATGGAAGTATTAAAATCAACTATAAACAAGCTTGCATTGATGATATCAGAAATTAACAGTTTATTCACTCACTAACTTGATCCTCTTTGTGCCATTGAGCACATTAGGTATTTAGTCTTCTGCTCGACCACATCCTTCGTTTTCACCTTGACAGTTTTCCAGGAGGACCTAATCTGTTCAAGTTCTTTCTCAGCTGTTCTACGCCAAGTTGATTTTGGCCTCCTTTGTTTCCTCTTTCCATCAGCTGTCTAGTAGATTACCTGTCTTAGAATGTCCTGTTGGCCTTTCCTCAGTATGTACCCTAACCATCTTCATTGTCTACTTGAAGTTACCTTTGTGATGTACTCCTGTCCAGATAGTGTTCCCTGATTGTTGCTAGATATTACAATTAGCCATCTGATTTTATAAATTGGTCTCAAACACCTGTTCACACAAACACTCTAATTTTCTGCTCTAGGTCGTTCTGCCGTTTCCAGCATTCTGATCCATATTTTACTTCTATTTAATATCACTGCCACATTTAAGTATTGCTTGTCAAAAAAGGTTTTGAATCTTTTTATTGCTCAAAATTTATAATATACATGGTTGAGCGTTATTATTGTATATCATGTATACAAGATGATGATTATATACAGTGATAAATCTACAATTAGTTTGTATGGGTCGTTCCACTGTATGGTTACAAGATATGGGTCCAACTATGTTAAATTTCAGTATTTTCAGAAATTGTAGGACCCAGACTCTCATGTAGATTTTTCACTGTACATACAAGGTAGTGCTATGTCAATCTGAGGTAACACAGAAGCTTGCTTTATTATAGGATGTACATGGTTTTGTTGGTCCTGAAATCAGATGTGTATGTTTGTTGTGTTAGATAGATTGAGATATAAAACTCCAGAGTTTCATATGAATTATTTCTACGAATTGTTTTTAAAGAACAGTCATGCCATTGATTTCTTTTGAAAGAAAATGTGAAAAATTATAACGAAGAAATATAGGATATTGATATTGCTAATTTAGTTTTATCCTGTTAATTCTGCATCCCCAAAATATTATCATTTATAATAAATTATTTTGTGAAAACTTGTTATAAGAGTTACTGCCCTTTGTATGCAAAAAAAGAAATTACCAAAAAGCTGGTAATTGTGTCCGTCCATAACAAGTAGGCACTTTTTAAATGTCTTAATTTTGATTACTTAGATTTTTAATTTATTTCTATCCTGATAAACATTACAAGTAATCTCCTACCAGACTATACATGACGATATTGTTTGTTTTTCATGTCTCGAACCACTGATATTGTATACAGCTCTGCTTTAACATTTTGTGCTAATATTTTACCACCGACCTGTATTGTAATTGTAGTGTTATCAATTCTCAAAAACTAAACATGTTACAATATAAATATTCCTGCCAAATATTTTAGAGAAATGTTTGTATTCTGTTTGAAAAATAAAATATTTTTTTGATATTTGATATATGCATTATGGATAAACATTACATTTATGTATAAATGATGTTTTGAACGATATTAACATTTAAAAAAAAAGGTTTTGTATGCAGAATGTATGAGCAAATTTCAAGAAATAAAAGCCCTTAATTATACTGCTATGCATATCTGTATTCTTATTTCAGCTCATGAGGCTCTTTCCTATGAGCTTAGAATTTATAATCCATGGTGTGGCGTCTAGCATCTCTTCATTGTGAACATTTTCTCAATTTGTTTTCTTAAGATACATAAAGCAAAGTGTCATCATATTTGACAGGAAGCTTTCTATGATAATTATTCAAATAAGTTGTGTTGACTCTTAGCTCACCTGCTCTAAAGATTTGTCGTAGGTTGTCATCATTCGTCAGTCAACTTTTCACTAAAAAGCCTACTAGTCCAGAATGACTGCAGGGATTCTGACCTAGCCTGATGTGGAAAATTACTAGGCTAAAGGAAGGCAACATTTTATAAATAAAGGGAGTGACCCCCTTGTGGGAAGAGGGACAGGGGCCAATAGGGAAAATATAGGTAAACCTTTAAAATCTTACTCTTGTGTTAAGAGAAAAAAGGATTTTAACATAAATTGGTCTGGAGCATCCTTTGAAAAGAAGCAGTCTGAGTCGGATCAATGATTGGCAATTACAGACCATGCTATACAGGCGAATCCTGTTGTTGACTGGAATAACTCTGAAGTGTTGGAAAGTGAGCAATATGTTCAAGCAGCAAGATAAAAGAAGTCATCTGTATACGCCACAGTGGACCAAGTCTGAATGGAGGGTGGGGGTTGCTCATAGACTTGTGCATCTTTGATCTATGACCAGGTATTAAACAAGAGGCCCTAGGGCCTTAGCTGTCACCTGATTTATATCATAGGTACTGGTAGCTTTATTTTATTGTTTAGATAAAGTGATTAGTGAAATACAACACTTGTCATGTCATCAAAGGATAAGAATTTTAAAATATTTGTAAATGTTCCCTTTGGGGCCCCGCCCTAGCCCCTGGGGATGGGGCAGGAATCCCAATTTTACAATGTAATATCCTCATCCACCAAAGATGATTCTGACTAAGTTTGAGTAATTTTCTGCTGAAAATGGATAAAATATACCCAAAATTGTTATTTCCCTATATAACCTATAGTAAACTTTACCCCCTCCCTAAGGAGGAATGGATGGCTTGGGGGGTTCTGAAATTGACAATTTCAATCAAACTCCTGATGATCTTTCTATCCATGGGGCCCCTAGGGTTGGGGTAGAATCCCAATTTTACAATTTGAACACCATCATCCTCCAAGGATGATTCTCGCTAAGTAAGAATAATTTCCTACAGAAAATTGTCAAAACATACCCAAAAGTGTTATTTCCCTATATAAACTATAGTAAACCTTACCCACTCCCCAAGGAAGAAGAAATGGCCCGGTTGTTGTGAAATTTACAATTTAAATAAAGCCCCTGATGATCCATCCATCTATGCAGAGAAAAAGACTAATATCTCTGAGTCTGGAGAAGAAGATTTTGGAAATATTAATTAATTTTCCCTTTGAGGCCCCGCCCTGGCCTCAGGGGTTAGGGTAGGAATCCCAATTTTACAATTTGAAACCATATTCCACGAAGGATAATTCTTACCAAGTAAAAATAATTGCCTACAGAAAATGGTCAAAATATACCCAAAAGTGTTATTTCCCTTTATAAAACTATAAAACAAAGGAGAACGGATAGGTCGAGGGTCCTGAAATTTACAATTTAAATGAAGCCCCTAATGATTTTTCTTTCCATGCAGAGCAAAATGACTGTAGTACCTCTGAGTCTGAAGAAGAAGGTTTTTTGAAATATTGGTTAATTTTCCCTTTGGGGCCCCGCCCTGGCCCCAGGGGTTGGGGTAGGAATCCCAATTTTACAATTTTGTAGCCTCATCTACCAAGGATGATTCTGACCAAGTTTGAAAAATTCCATTCACTGGTTCTTGAGAAGAAGTTGAAAATGTAAAAAGTTTACGCACGACGGACGGAAAGCGATCAGAAAAGACATATCTGAAAGACATATCTGAAAGACATATCTGAATCGATAAGTCTGTTTGATTTGTCATTTTGTTCAAGCTAACAGCTAAATGTACAGATGTTTCTAGTATAGCATAGCCAAATTGATATTAATTTCTTTTGCCAACTCTGAAATCATTTACACCTTTTGTGTACCTAGGCATCACTGGTCATTTTTCTGATGAAGGCAAGTACTTTCAGCAATGGTATGTTTTGGTAGTTTTGGTTATTGACCTGACGACACATCAGAAAGGTACATTGATAAAACTCTGTACGCTCTCGTTATTATTTAAAAATACTAATTCAGAACAAGATCAGTGGTATTAGTTGTAAACATCCCTGACAGTATAACTGAATGGCACTGTAGTTTTGCACTTCTTCTGTCTGTCCCTGGTTCAGGCCTATGTCATATATTCTGTAACTAGCAATTGCCAGGTTTTGTATATGTGTACCTTTTGAGATTGTGAAGTGTTGTGTACTGAAAAAGGATCTTGTACCCAAATATACAGAGTTATAGCCCTTTGTTCACCATGCCACTTTGTCAAGATTATAATTAATATACTCTTGTCACCTGTGATTGTCAAATATTGTGTATGAGTACCTTATGAGATGGCAGATTGGGTTGTGAACCGACGTCCTGTATATGTTACTTTTTCTGTCACATCTCACTGTTTCACTTATAAAATAGACAGATTTTGTAGGTGGGTACCTCATGCGATAGTTGAGTGTTGTGTACAGAAATCAGGTCAAGCACCACTATAACAGAGGTATGGTCCTTTTATAATTTTTTATATGGAAGTTTGTCAGGGGTGTGGTAGTATGAATTAATTACAATACTTTGTCCTATTGTTAAAACATTGGTAAAATATTATGCTGACCATTTTTAGCTCACATGGTCCGAAGAACCAAGGTGAGCTTATGCCATACCGTCGGGGTCCGTCGTTCTTCGTCTGTCGTCTGTCTGGGGCCAAAAAAAGTTTATTACTTGGAAATGGTTGAGATCCCCACCATATAACCATATATACAATTGCTGAGTATAAAGAGAAGAATGCACATTTGTTTCCAGGATGGCCTAGGGTCTGGCCCCACCCTTGGCGGCATAGTCCCTGGGCCATAACTTTAAAACGGTTAGTCACAGCTTGGAAACAGTTGAGATCCCCATCCAATAACCATACATAAAATTGCTGGGCATGAAAAATCTAATACAGATATGCTACAAGGATTGGCCTTGGGGTTTGGCATATTCACTTGGATCTCATTTGGAGAATATTTTGTCATGATTGCTTAGATATCCAGGTGAGCGATACAGGCCCTCTGGGCCTCTTGTTTACCTTAAAATAGTTTTTTTATGAGTTGCTAAGATTTAAATAATGAAATTGAAAATAAAATAATAACGCTTTGATACTGTGTAACCTCTCTTAAACCAAACCCTGTATGAGTGGAAAACACGCTTTACATGTACTTTGGTATGTGGTTACAGCTTCCTTCATTGCTATAGTGCTTTATTAAGTACTAAAAAATATTAAAGGATAACCTAAAAGCATCACCAGATTGAAAATTACTCTGTGATGCACAAAAATGGACCAAATTATCCTATAGGCATCACCATAGTTACAGACGAGTTTAGTGTTTATAAGATACAAAAGGTCGATTGCACTTTAAAAGCAGTTTTAACACAAACAACAATAACATCAAATTACCACTAAGGATATTGTAAAAACAGGCTTGAAGATTGCAGAGTGGTTAAACTGTAATTGTTTCTTGAGGAATAAAAATTTAGTTGCACTTCAAGTGTCGCATCAACAATTAATTGATTTAGGAGATGCAGTGCTAAACCAACCTGACACTGTGGTAGGTAACCATGGTTACAATAAGAAAATGCACCTAAAAGCTTATATTTGTTAGTCTCGTTGGGACCGACAAAAAATAGCCTCATTATATCCTCTTAGAAAAGTGGTCATTAAAATCTGTTACAAAACTGGGAGAGGTCAGGAGCTTGTCCTAAGTTGGGTATAATGATTGTCTATAATATCCTTTGGCTTTAGAAGTCATTACCCATAGCGGGGCATCCTTTAGAGAGATACATGGTGCTTTTAACTCTGTAACATTGGAGCTAAATTTGTACATGCGAAATTGCATTTTCAGACAGATTCCTCAGTTAGTTTATATACAGGAAATTGAAACCAATTATGCCTAGACATGCTAAGTATCAATATATTGAATTTTTCCCTTTGATTTTTTAATACTCTGTAAAAATCTACCAATTAATATCATGATAAGCTTTGTTGTACCCGTAGATCCAGACAGCGGATCAAGAACAAGTGTCCCTCGCTGTCATAAAAGTTCAAACAAATACAAGAGGCCCAAGGGCCTTAGCGGTCACCTGAGTTATATCATAGGTACTGGTAGCTTTATTTTATTGTTTAGATGTGATGTGGAAATCAGCATGTTAACTAAGTGAAATACAATACTTGTCATGTCATCAAAGAATAAGAATTTGAAAATATTGGTAAATGTTCCCTTTGGGGCCCCGCCCTAGCCCCTGGGGATGGGGCAGGAATCCCAATTTTACAAAGTAATACTCTCATTCACCCAAGATGATTCTGATTAAGTTTGAGTAATTTTCTGCTGAAAATGGATAAAATATATACCGAAAAGTGTTATTTCCCTATATAAACTATA